AAAAAAAAAAAAAAAAAAAAAAAAAAAAAAAAAAAAAAAAAAAAAAAAAAAAAAAAAAAAAAAAAAAAAAAGAGAAAGATAAGTATATACTTGCATATGGCATGGTTTGGCGACAAACCGGGCGGGCTTTACTGGGCCAGACCACTCACGATGAGCATATCTCTGAATCTCTTTAACAAAGATGACTAATCTCTTTACACTAATCTTAACCATAGGGCCGTATGCCAGACATCCTTTACAATTCAAACTCGCTTGCGGCATTACAACACATGAAGCACCTAGTCTTCAATCAGTCGATAATATATTAACTGCATCCCCACCATGCAACATACCTCTGACTTCAATCGAATATGGAATTCTTGAGCAGCTGGATGCTAGATTTTTTAATATCTCTACACCAATTAGCGTAGAAGCATTCAAGCATCTCACAGCTAATCACCCCAATCGATCATTCGTTTTATATTTGCTTAATGGTCTTCAGAGTGGTTTCAGATTCAACTTTACGGGAAAAAGAACAACAATAATCCAAGAAAATTTAAGTTCAATAGAGATTGACCCCCAGGCATTTTCAAAATATATACAGGACGAAATGGTCCATGATCGAATATGTGGCCCATTTTCTCAACACCACCCACCTTGTAAACTCTTTCAGGTAAATCCCTGTGGACTAGTAGAGAAAAAAGAGACAACCCCAAAGGTGTATCGGGTAATCTCACATCTATCAGCTCCCTTCGGCGCAAGTATTAATGACGAAATCGATAGAATCGAGTTTAGTACACAGTACGAGAACATTAGCCATGCAATTCGATAGATTACCTACTATGGCAAAGGGTGTCTTCTGTCGAAAATCGACATAAAAGACGCTTATAGAATTCTCCCAGTACATCCCGTTGACCAGGTGTTGCAGGGCATAAGCTATGAAAACTAGTTATACTTCGATAAAGCCTTGGCATTCAGTAACCAAGCATCGGGTGGAATATTCTGCAGGTTCGCAGACATGTTAACTTGGATTGCCTCACAACAGGGCATATGGTCAATCATTCACTATGTGGATGATTTTCTCATCATATCAAAGACAAATGGCCGACGAGAGCTAGACCAGTTCCTTCGCATTCTCAGCATCCTAAATATTTCACACAAACCATCCAAGCTAGAAGGGCCATGTACATCTATTACCTTTCTGGGTATTCGGCTGGACACACAAACGTTTTCGGCTACAGTTCCTACAGCCAAGAAGTTAAAAATTATCAAGCTGCTAGAACAATGGACAAACAAGCAATCATGTTTCAGAAAAGAGCTCCAATCTCTTATCGGGCCACTGATGTAGGCATGCCAAGTGATCCCACAGGGCCGGCCCTTTATACAATGATTTATCAAAGCCCTGAACACAGCACAAGGACCAAAATCTCATATAAAGATTAATGGCCCCATGAGGTCAGATATTAAATGGTAGACTTCGATACTTCCCGACTGGCTGGGTATATACCTCATGGAAGACCAGATCTGGTTAAGCCCAAATACGCAGAATTTGTTTACTGACGCCTCCAACCTCAGCGGTGGTGCAACATTCCAATCCTACTTCACAACCTTTAACTGGGCTCGTGATATAGATTTATCTGCGCATAGCATTCAAGAGCGAGAGCTTCTATCTACGCTGATTGCAATATTGACATTTTCACCTATATGGACACAAAAACGTTTTATTATCTGGACAGATAACCAGGCCAATGCAGAAGCGTTGTATAATGGCTACTGCAGACAAATAGATATTAATGACATCATCGCACAAATTTACCAAGCCCAGATACGAGGAAACTTCTCGATCAAATTTGAATATATTCCAGGCAAAGCAAATTCAGATGCAGGCTTGCTCTCACGAAACGGGCACAGAGAGTTTTTAAATTTTAATCCTACAGCTCGATACTTACAACCAGTTGTCCCGTTTAAATATTCTAATCTAATTTCTACAATTCTGTCCTTGATTCAATAGATAGCCATACCATCTTGCACAACACGGCAGGCAAACAAGCTTCAACCTCCACTCTTCCACTCAACCAACAGGCGGCATTAATTTTAAGCCTAGGCGAAAAAACGGATACGTATTATTTCACCGACAATTACTTCACAGACATCTTAGCTCACCGACAATTAATTCACAGACAAGTTCATTTCACCGACAATTATTTCACTGACAGCTCATTTCACTGACAAGTATTTTTTATAAATTGCACTAACCTTAACTCTAATTCTAACTTGACATTAACAAC